ATTTCGGTGCGTTGGAACTCAACGCGTGGAATTTCAATGCGCTGGAACTCAACGTGTGGAATTTCGGCGCACTGGAACTCAACGCGTAGGATTTCGGTGCGCTGGAACTCAACGCGTGGAATTTCAGCGCACTGGAACTCAACGCGTAGGATTTCGGTGCGCTGGAACTCAACGCGTGGAATTTCAATGCGCTGGAACTCAACGTGTGGAATTTCGGCGCACTGGAACTCAACGCGTAGGATTTCGGTGCGCTGGAACTCAACGCGTAGAATTTCAGCGCGCTGGAACTCAACGTGTGGAATTTCGGCGCACTGGAACTCAACGCGTGGAATTTCAATGCGCTGGAACTCAACGTGTGGAATTTCGGCGCACTGGAACTCAACGCGTTGGATTTCGGTGCGCTGGAACTCAACGCGTGGAATTTCAGCGCACTGGAACTCAACGCGTAGGATTTCGATGCGCTGGAACTCAACGCGTGGAATTTCGGTGCACGGGAACTCAACGCGTGGAATTTCGGCGCACTGGAACTCAACGCGTGGAATTTCAATGCGCTGGAACTCAACGTGTGGAATTTCGGCGCACTGGAACTCAACGCGTAAGATTTCGGTGCGTTGGAACTCAACGCGTGGAATTTCAACGCGCTGGAACACAATGTGTGGAATTTCGGCGCACTGGAACTCAACGCGTAGGATTTCGGTGCGCTGGAATTCAACGTGTGGAATTTCAGCGCGCTGGAACTCAACGCGTAGAATTTCGGTGCGTTGGAACTCAACGCGTGGAATTGCAATCCGCTAGAACTCAACGCATGGAATTCCGACGCGCTTTAACATTGATCAAAAGTGTATTAGAACTAAATTACATTGGAATTACCAAACAGACTCGAATAGAATGTTTCATTATGAAAATCCCGACACAATTCCACGAGAACCCGCTTTGTTGCCGATTAGTTATGTAATAGTTTTCAAGGAATGAAGAGCGTTCCTCTCGGAAATTCATCCTTTGATCGAAACACGCTGCACGAAAAGATCCTTTTGTGGTCCTTTCGTCTGTCTTTCGTAACGTCCTTATTCCAGCTTAAACACGATTCGAATCGATGCGAGAGGCCGGTTCTTACGTAAGCAGGACTCCAGTAAATATTCCACGAGATTGGCGAAAACAGCAACGCAAACTTTGTCTTTTGCATTTTAAATGGGACGAACGAGACGATGATTTGTGCCCGCATGAATTTTTCACGTTTGCTTACGGCAATAAATACGTTAGATAGGCACAGGTATTAAAAGTGGACGATGCCAAACAGGCCGCAAATCATTTTGCGTGTTGCACGCGCACCGATTACCGACATGCTACACTTCTGTTTCGTCGGGGAAAAAAACTTCGAGGAAATGTTCGGGTAATACGTGGGCTGATTAGATTTAGAAATAGTCGATTGAATAACGTTCTGTTTCGGAAGGGGTTACTGGAAAATATTATTCCAAAATTATACGGTTTCAGAAATTATACATTTCAGAGAACCCTTCTCTCAAGGAGAAGGGTAAATGTATTAATAGGTTGTTTACTGTTATCGATGCTCTCAGCAAGTTGCTTTCAACTGATGTTGAAATATGTTAAAAGTGTGTATACAATATTTGAACAATTTTAAAAGTGGTACCATATCGAACAGCAATAATTTCAAAGATTTTATTAAACGATTCGTAAAATTGAAAGTACACTCTCAGGATGCCGATTAAAATTTTCCAGGCGCTATAGACTCGGCGAAAGGGTTCTAACGAGCTGAAGCAAGGAAAATAAAAATGTGAAGACGTCCGCGCGCGAAAACAATGGGCGAAAGAGAAGCTCCCTCGACAGAAAGACGCGCGAAGAATGAAAACCCGTGGAGGATCCGCTGCTTGAAAAGGGTTCCGCGATGAACGCGAAGCGAACGAGCGGATCGAGTAACCTCGAAGAATCATCGTGATTCTTTCCACGTACCTTATCTCCCACGGGAAGAGCGAGTTAATTCACAAAGGAGGTGAAATGAAAGGAGCAGACGTTCCCCGATTCCCCGACCTAATTTCCTTCGTTGGAATATGTCATTGGGTTAGCTAGTTTCTCGGTCAGACTATTGTTACAGGAAAATCTGTCTATATGAAATCGTTGGAGGCTATAGAGGAAAGTTGACGGTGTGGAAAGAATTCTTTGGTAAATAATGTAACTGAAATCAGCGCGTCGAAATTCTACGCATTGAGTTCCAACGCGCCGTGACTCCGAGCGTTGAGTTCCAGCGCGCCGAAATTCCATGCGTTGAGTTCCAGCGCGCCGAAATTCTACGCGTTGAGTTTCAACGCGCCGTAATTCCGAGCGTTAAATTCCAGTGCGCTGAAATCCTACGCGTTGAGTTCCAACGCACCAAAATCCTACGAGTTGAGTTCCAGCGCGCCGAAATTCCACGCGTTGAATTCCAGCGCGCCGAAATTCCATGCGTTGAGTTCCAGCGCGCCGAAATTCTACGCGTTGTGTTTCAACGCGCCATAATTCCGAGCGTTGAATTCCAGTGCGCCGAAATCCTACGCGTTGAGTTCCAACGCACCAAAATCCTATGCGTTGAGTTCCAGCGCGCCGAAATTCCGAGCGTTGAGTTCCAGTGCGCCGAAATTCCACGCGTTGAGTTCCAGCGCGCCGAAATTCCACGCGTTGAGTTCCAGCGCGCCGAAATTCCACGCGTTGAGTTCCAGCGCGCCGAAATTCCACGCGTTGAGTTCCAGCGCGCCGAAATTCCGAGCGTTGAGTTCCAGTGCGCCGAAATCCTACGCGTTGCATATAGTACGTTGCAATGTAACGCTACATTACATGATGTCCTCATTCAAAAAATTTACAAATCTACAAAATGTACATAGTCTCTTCTGAATCTCCAAATTCAGAAATGTCAAATAATACCAAAGTCTGAAGAGAGAAGTCAAAGAACTTCTGCACGATACAACTTCCCATGAATTTATGGCAAACAAAAAGCGCATAAATGTCCGACAAACGTCTCGATTTTAATACTCGTTCTTGAATTTAATTACACTATCTGCAAGCACGATAAAAGGAAGTTTTTTATTGAGAGGATCGTCGTCCGTTAACGACGTCTTTTTATCGCGCTCCACGTTGCGAAGAGGTCTAAGGAAAGAGACCGATTTCCCAAGAGAACAAGCAGAAAATCCATTGAACGTCATCAAGACGACAGCGAACGAACGATCGTCCGTTGCTCCAGATAGACCATTCTCGTCACCGGTGGATAGTTTTAGGAGTAAACTCCAAGAGAATCATACCGCCCCTTTAACAAGAACCTCCACTGTTCCGTGTTGTCTAGCTTTGAAACTAACCGACGTACAAGGGACCATTCAGAGCATGCTTCCCCTTCGAGAGCACCAGACCATGGCGTCCCTGGGTTGCCTCTTATGGCGGCTGCTCGCGAAAGGGAAAAACCAACGGGAATTTAAGGACTGACGCGCTTGTCTCCATAACGTCATTTAAATTATCACACATTTACTGTTCCGACATTTAGAGGCTTTGCAAATAGCTTACAATGTTGGGAAATACTTTGAGATGTTTTATAACAAATCTGCAATTTTTGAAAAATATTCTGAGATGTTTTATAATAATTTTGTAATGCTTGAAAAATATTCTGAGATGTTTGATAACAATTCTGCAGTGTCTTAAAAATATTCTGAGACATTTAATAATAATTCTGCAAAGTTTGAAAAATATTCTGCAATGTCTTAAAAATATTCTGAGACATTTAATAATAATTCTACACTGTTTGAAAAATATTCTGCAATGTCTGTAAAATATTCTGATATGTTTGACAATAATTCTGCAATGTTTGAAAAATATTCTGAAATGTTTGACAAATATTCCAATATGTTTAACAACAATTCTGCAATGTTTGAAAAATAATTTATATCTGAAAATTATTCTCTGCCTGAAAAAAATTCTGATATGTCTGATAACAATTCTGCAATGGTTAAAAAATATTCTGATATGTTTGACAACATTCCAGCAACGTTTAAAACATAATCTGAAACGTTTGAAGAACAGTCTACAACACATTCGGAGAAGAGAAATTGAAAACGCGTGAACAGATTTATTGGATTACCCGAAGGGATTATTAATTGAAAGGATATTGAAATTAAAATGAAAACTAAATCCAGTGTAAAGAGGTGAAGTGTCGTTAATTAATATCTGCGAGGAACGATTGATTTTCCCACTCGATGGGTTCATTATCGACCAGCGTAGATAAGGTAGGGAAGCTGGTGATCGATCGAGGCAGCACCATGTTTGGCAGTATGGCAAACTAACGCAGATGGGCTGGCTATGGTAATCTACGTTACGATTGTCACAGAAAAAAGGAGAGTAAGGGCTTGGTAGTCGCTTATCCTTGACAAGTAATAGTATATTAATCTTCAACGATGTAATGGGATTATCTTATTTCTTCCGAGCTAAGGTTCATTGTGAGACTTTACAGAAAATGACAAATGAGGATAATGAACTTAAGTCAATCTTCAAACTTTTCAACTTTAGTAACTTTTCAAAGATTCAATTTCCAAATTCAGAAGTTTGAAATCATCGAAAAAGTTTAATTTTGGAATTACAGAATTTGATCTACAGTTCCAATCTGTCCCTGTCTCCTCATCTCTCAATTCAGTTTTTGTTAACTTATTTCAGTGTGATTTTATATCCGAGTAGTTTTACCATATCTGAAATGTAGATCCTTTACAATAAATTGATTGATTAATTTTTTATATGAGC